GGAGATGCGGTCTCGCCAAGTTGCCCAGGCGGTCTCGAACCCGCGGGCTCAGGCAATCCACTCACCTCGGCCTCCCAAAGCGCTGGGATTACAGGCTGAGCCACCAAGCCCGGCCTCTATTTCTAACATATGTAAACCAGGCTATTTCTTGTGCAGGTAAGCACAATGAATCACCTAACTGCAAAAAAGGGAGGACACTGGACCACAAAAGCGGGGGGTGGGGGGGAATGACTAACAACACATTCAGCAATGACTACGCATCAGCCTGCTCTCCTAGTTCCTGGTTTAGATTATACCTTCCTCTGGGGATGTCCCTTCTGTCACCACCTAGCATCCTGAGACCTGACCTCCCAGGAAGCTCCAAATGAATGTTACACATAACCAGCGTGGGTCACTTCGAACTACACTCTTCCCTGTCTCACAGCCGGGTGTCACATAAGAAAGGGCCCAGGAAATTAACACATATGCTACGTTTGTATGTGGAACTACACCTGAACGTGCTACTCTTTTTCACTCGTAAGTTTTTGCCGACAAATGCCAACATTCAAGAGGAGCAGAAATCCGAGTCTTCTTCAGTGCCAGGCCTACTAACATGGGGCTTTTGAGAAATGACCTCCTGAGCCCCTGGGATCATACTGTCTGAAAGGCTTTCTCTCTTCCTTTCCCCCAAGGCTGCCCCAGATGCCCTACTTCCTGCCCTTCCCTAGACTTCGGAAATGTGTCTATCAAGTGTCTGAAAAGGCCTGGAAACTACAGGTCAGATACACGGGTGGAAACCGCCCCATCAATGAGGAGAGGCAGTGTGTAGACCCATCGCCTGCCACACTCGCTGGCCGAGGTCTCCAGATGAGATCGCCCCGCCAGGCTTTTAGGATGAAGCAAGAGAAGTCTTTCTGGCATTTTTTCAACACAGGAACTTTTTAAAGGGGTCTCCACCCACCCCCCGACCCGCAAAAAAAAGCCTGGGACTTGACAGTCTCTGGTTTCTCGGTCCGCTAGACAAGCCCACTGTCCGAAAGTGCGAGAATGCGGGCGGCTGGGAGGAGCACCCTCTCTCCCCGGAGTCCGAAGGGCCACAGTTCTGCGGGGAAAGGTCTCCCCGAGGGCCGGATGGAAGTTCCAGGGGAGAGAGAAGGGGAAGCAGAGGACTGGGGCCGAGGGCTTGAGGCATGGGCACGAGAGGCACTGGAGGTCCCAGGTGGGCGCGGGAAGGGGAACCCGTGGAGGAGAAGGTGGACAAAGTTAGGGGCGCCGAGAGGCCCAGGGGGGCCGGGCTGGGAGGGGGCGGGGAGAGCGGCCACGTCAGCCCCGGCCCCGCCCGCCACGTTTTCCCCTCGTCCTTCGCTCCCACCCTCCGTTCGGGACACCGGTCCTCACCGTTCGTCATGGCGGCTGGGCCTGGACCTGGGCAAGGAGGTCCGGGCTCAGCGGTACTGGCAGCGAAGGCGGGGGAACCCGGCTCCCGCTTGACACTTCCCGATCCGGGCCGCGACGACGGGCAGAGCCCCAGTACGCAGGCGCAGGGCCGAGAGGCGAGCGCCGAACGCTACCGGGCGTGGCTAGCCGATTGCCGAGCTAGGGAACGTGCTCGCTGGCCGAGGGGGAGAGGAGTGCTGTCGCCGGCCCGTCCCACGTGGCCCCGGTGTCAGAGGTTCTTCTGCGCGCCCCGCGGAGTTCGTGATGGGCGTAACCTGACAGGTTCGCGTCAGTATGTTTGAAAGGTAAAGGTGTGGCTGCTGTGTGTGTGTGTGTAAGCAGCAGCGCACCTGCACCGGAGAGGTTTTCGTCCCAGGCTTCCTTTTTTCTTTTTCTTTTTTTTTGAGTCGGGGTCGCACTCTGTCGCCCAGGCTGGAGTGCAGTGACACGATACCTGCTCCACCGCTGCCTCGACCTTCTGGGCTCAAGCTACCACACCCGGCTAATTTCCTTCTATTTTTTGTAGATACGAAGTCTCACTATGTTGTTGCCCAGGCTGGTCTCGAACTCTTGAATCAAGGGATTCTCCCACCCGGCCCCCAGGCTTGCACTTAAGAGAGCCCCAACGCCAGGGGTCAGGACGCGGCCCTTGCGGCCTCCGGGACCGCCCCTGCTGCGCGCCTCTTCCTTGGTCCTGATGGAAGTCTATGCAGTCAGGCTGCATCTGGACTTCCTTGATGAAATATGAAACTTTATAACAAAAAACAAGACGCATATTTCGGATCCGAAGATCTGAAAGCACTACGTTGTCGGAAAACATTCAGATAATTGTGTTTGTTTGTACGGATTTTTCCTTTTCCTTAAACTATCAGGAGAATCTCGATTGTCTTCTGTATTTAATTCATGCTTGGGTCACCTTGGCCACTTTAGCCAGAAATCGGCGATGCCTGGACAGCGCTTCTCTGAGGACACTTTGACGACGTGACAGAAGACCTCGTCAGTCTAACGTCAGGGCTGGTAGTAGGAGACAACACTTTGTAAACTAAACTGAAATCCTTAAATGCATACACCTTGACCTGGTTTATTAGAGTCCAGACCAAGGTGACACACTGAGTCCTCCAAGACTGAAATTGTAAGGCTGCCAAGGACCTAAATGAAGGGACTCTGCCCCTATCCTCTGCAGTGCCATCTGCTGGCTATGGCCTGCCTGGTTACCCACAAGAAAAGCTGGAAACCGGAGTGGAAAGACAAACCAAAATGTCTGATGCAGGACCAACTCCTTGAGAAAATACACATAAATGCAGAAGCAAAAAACAAAGGGAAGAGGGACGGAACAAAACCTAAGACAAGGCCAGGCAACCACTCAGATTACATATATTTGCGCATACACAGACAAATCCCCCTGCCCAAAAGAACTGCTTAGACCACTCAAAAACAAAACAGAGCAAGCCGGGTGTGGTGGCTCATGCCTGTAATCCCACACTCTGGGAGTCGGAGGCAAGAGGATTGTCTGAGCCCAGGGGTTCAAGACCAGCCTGGGCAACTTGGTGAGACCTCGTTTCTACAACAGATCAAAAAATTAACCGGGCATGATGGCGCACGCCTGTGATTCCAGCTCCTTGGAAGGCTGAGGCAGAAGAATCGCCTGTGCCCAGCAGGTTGAGACTGCGGTGGCCATCTCCAGCCTAGGCGACAGGGTGAGACTTATGCTAAAAATAAAAATTTAAAAGAAGAACAGGCTGGGCACAGTGGCTCAAGCCTGTAATCCCAGCACTTTGGGAGGCAGAGGCGAGAGGATTGCCTGAGTTAGGGGTTCAAGACCAGCCTGGGCAACTTAGCGAGACCTCGTCTCTACAATAAAATTTTTTAAAAAAACAACAAAAAGCTGGGCTTGGTGGCTCAGCCTGTAATCCCGCGCCTTTGGGAGGCTGAGGTGAGTGGATTGCCTGAGCCCGCAAGTTCGAGACCTCCCTGGGTAACTTGGCGAGACCTCATCTTTTCGGAAGGCTGAGGCAGAAGAATCGCTGGAGCCCAGTAGGTCGAGGCTGCGGTGACCGGGAGCAGCTACTTCACTCCAGTCTGGGCAACAGAGTAAGACGCCAACTCAAAAAAAAAAAAAACCAACAAAAACCCCTGTTGTCCAGGCCTTTGAACCTTTCATCAACTGTTATCTAAAACAGCAACAGCATTAGCATGTTGCTACTGCGTGTCCAGTCCTTACATCACAGCTTGATAAAGGACCCAAACCATTCTAACCAAGTCTTAAACAAATCCATATTCACTAATTTAGATCAAATTATGTGGCCCATCTCCAGCTCAAAAAATTATCTGTCTTGAATACAACGACACTGCTGTATCCTCACTATCTGCTCTTAATTGATTGTTCTCTGGAACCTGATTCTTCACCTAAATACAGATGTTCTTAGATACTCCTTTTTTCTTGTTATTAGCAATTCGTTACCTATTCTGCTTCGTGGCTCCAACTATCACTTATTTTTAGAGTTCATAATTTGATGTCCTACTCAAGCTCCATTCCTACACTTCATTTTTTAAAAAATTTTATTTTTGTAGATATGGGGTCTTATTATGTTGCCCAGTCTGATCTCGAACTCCCAGTCGCAAGCTATCCTCCTGTCTTGGCCTCCCAAAATGCTGAAATTATAGCCATGTGCTACTGCTCCCAGCTCAGTCCTACATTTCTTTCTTTCTTTCTTTTTTTTAAAGCAGGATTTATTGAGAGGACAGAAAAGCTTCCACAGTGAGAGGGGACCCAAGGAGGTTGCCCCCAGTCCTACATTTCTAACAGAAGCTCTTTTTTTTTTTTTGAGTTGGAGTCTCACTCTCACCCAGGCTGGAGTGTAGTGGCATGCTCATGGCCAACGCAGCTTCAACCTGTTGGGCTCAGGTGATCCTTCTGCCTCAGCCTTCCAAGCAACTGGAACTATAGACATGTGCCACCACATGATGGCACATGACTGATTTACTGTAGAGACAAGGTCTTGCCATGTTGCTCAGGCTGGTCTTGAACCCCTGGACTCAGATAATCCTCTCGCCTCGGCCTCCCAAAGTGCTGGGATTACAAGGCATGAGCCATCGTGCCTGGCTGCATTTTGATATTTCCAAAGCACATGACACCTTGACATATCATCTTATTTAATCCTCATAACTACCTTATTACCCCATTTTACTTTTTATTTTTGAGTTGGAATCTCACTTTGTCACTTAGGCTGGAGGACAGTGGCACACTCACAGCCACCGCAGTCTCGACCTGCTGAGCTTAGGTGATCCTTTGGCCTCAGCCTCCAAGTAGCTGGAACAAGAAGTATGCACCACCACACCTGGCTCTAATTTTTTGACTGTAGAGACGATGTCTTACCATGTTACCCAAGCTGGTGCTCAGGTAGGCCTCTCACCTTTACCTCCCACAATGCTGGGATTACAGGTGTGAGCCACCACGCCTGGTCTTACCCCTGTTTTATTTATTTGAGTTGGAGTCTCACTCTGTTGCCCAGACTGGAGTGCAGTGGCCGCTCCCAGCCACCGCAGCCTTGACCTGCTGGGCTCCAGCGATCCTTCCGCCTCAGCCTTCCAAGTAGCCGGAATTATAGGCATGCACTACCACGCCCGGCTGATTTTTGGATTTATTGTAGAGATGAGGTCTCGCTGCCCATGCGGGTCTTGAA